CTTATTTCAAAATGATCTAAATACTTAATGAATTTTTATCATTTAATGTAACCTAGCAAAACTTCAAAGTATCAAGTAAACAAAGAGATTTTGGAAGCTAGATTAAATGCATGTCATAAAATATAATTATTGCTAAAAGTTTATCTATAAATTCTAAATCATTTGTTCCAAACAATTATGTTTAGATTACACAAGAAAACTTCATGAGACATTAGACAAAAATAAGCTGTTATTTTAAGTTATTATTTTTATTAACCAGTTTTGTAATAAAGATAACATCAGCTTCTTTGACCAATAAATGTAGAATAAAAGCTGCATGTCTGCATCGTATCCAATGCTGATAACTCTAGAGACACGCCTATTTTAATCAAACCAACAAACTTAAAGCATTCGTTTACCAAAGATTATTTCATATCACATTAACTTGAAAGACATGTAAGCATTTACTTTAAGTCAATTAAACAGAGGTCTTAATTTTGGCTATAGCATCCAGAGCTAAAATATCACACACATATATAATACATATAGACACACATAAACACACAGGAAGAGAGACAGAGATGTTAAATTTTTGTTATGAATCAGGTGCAATACAAAACTCACTAGTTTGTGAGAAATATTTGCATTTCAAAGAATACCTTTCAGGTCCTAGAGAAGATGGAGCATAAAATCTACATCATATAGGCACAGAGAAAGTAGTCAAGCTTTCTTCAAGATGGAGTTTGTGGGGCTTATTTGCCTTATCTGTTTCTAATGTTTCAATCTTTTGTCTCAATATCTAGGAGCATTTTGAGGAACAGGAGGTTTTGGGATTGGCAAAAAACAGGTGAACTTTTAATTGATTTCTAGGGCCATACCTCCAGCCTTGCATAGATTTGTAAGACAAAGATGGTTGCTTCCAGTTCCCAAAAGAACTGGATTACATTTCGAGTGACAAAAAGAGGTTGATCCACCCTGCCAGCTACATTGTTTTTCTAATTGCTTCTTTATATCAGGGAAATTTTTAACTTAAGAGGTGAATCAAAGATTTGTATGTTCTAAAACTGCAGGACAATGTATCACACCGTTAAAAGTCTGTACAAAGCATTTAACAGAGACCCTATCTTCTAAGTGTACAATTCAACCCTAGACCAATTTACCTTGTGGAGGGGGAGCATTTATTTTATCTTTTTAATTAGTACCTGATATTAGCCTCTAGGTTTTATCTCATACAGTGTGGGCTCAGGCAATCCTATTGACTTCCCTTTTGGAATTTAATTACCGTTGTCTTAAGGGCAGATTTATATCCTGTTTTACAATCGGACAGGGGAAACGTTCCCCAGGGAGACACAATGTCTATCCCCACAACACAATCTGTAATATAATCAGGCAAAAAGAGATACAATCACTTCACATAAAAGTCCATAAATATATCAATGTCTGTACAAAATTTCCTCTGAATTTTGTCAAACTCTTATACCTCTAGTCATACTTTTCACTAGGACTTTATCAATAGGTCTTGGTCTTATAATTTTGGACAAGGGAAACATTCCCAGTCAGACATTTTAAAACATACTTAGGCAAAATTGATATAACCTCTGTATATAAAATTAGCTCAAACATTCCAACCTTTATAATGTTATCAACACTGACACGTTTACATTTTCTCAATTTAATTGTAACCTGAGTTGGGGTCTTAAGGCTAGTCATTACTTGTTTTGTATTTCCTTTTTTTAATTTGGCCTTTTTATATGTACCAATAAAACAATTATGATGAGAGCTCCCATAATTTTTCTTCCCCAATTTAGAAGTTTTCCCAATTTCAGTGATCCATCGTCTGGCCACATTGATGAGTAAGATCTTAACAGTGACTCATACCTATAAGCTTAACCATGGATGCAAGAGGTGTCCCCAAAAGAGATCCAGAAAACTCACTGCCCAAAATAACCTAAGAAAGCAAAGGCCATCATTGTACAACAAGCAATGAAGGTTGAGATGACAAAAGCCCCTAATGAAAGCAATTGGGACCCCTTATTACACACTTCCCTGAGAGCTGGCACAGCCAGACAAAGAGAGTGTGTCCCAGAACCCCAGTCTACTCAACTGACCACCAAGATACATGTCAGTACATGTATCCTCTAGATGGCAGAGACCAACGAGGTCACAAAGCCAAGCTCTCAAGACATAGAACAAGACAAAAGAAAAACCTCATCTGATATACATGTTAACAGCTTTGGCTAAGCCTTTGGTCTCTTGGAGCCAGAATAATACCTAGGAGGGAGGTGCCACATGGTTGGGGATGATGTGTGCTTTACAGAGTACCTCATTGTTGCATGGACATTTTCTTGAAGTTGGTGGGGGACATGTGTCATCTACCCCATTCTGTGACCCAACTCATCCTTTCTTGGGAGACTTCTTGAGGTGGTGAACTCCCTAATGGCTCTTAACTGCTTGACCCGTGCCCACCAAATTTGTGGCCTTTTTTGTTTCCAGATGCCCTTAGCAACAGCTTTCACCTCGTGTGCATATTCCAAGACAATGGGCTTACAGAGATGCCTGTGTCTTATGACAAATGACAAAAAAGACAGAGACAAGGAAAAACACTATTTCTGGGAGGAAAAGGGTCTACAACCCATGAGTACTCAACCAAATCTCAGAGTCGCTGAGTCCAAGAAGCTAGCTTCATCAATATTTTCTCCTGCTATTCTAAATTTAGAAAAGGAAAAAAACTCACCACTCTCACTTGCACTGGACCCTCCAGGCAGCGATCTGATAGACTGATGTGGTAAGAACTCTTGCCTCGTGTAGGCTCTTGTCAGGGGTCCAGGATCTCTCAGTTGCAGTAGTCCAGGAGTGAAGAGCATCCAGCCAGTGAAGTTTTATCCTGTGCAAGTTGCCAAACTGTAGGGGAGGAAGACATATCCTTTACCTACTCTAGGTCCTTCTGGCTGAGCTATGAATTAAATTGACATGAGACAGAATAACAGGAAAAAATCAAACAAAGCCATATAACATGTATACATGGGAGAGACTCAGGAAAACTGAGCAACTCAACAAAATGGTGGGGGGTCTAATCTTAAATGCCAGCTTCAGCTAAAGACAAAGGAGGATGTTGGGAGTAGTTGTTTGGGACTTCAAAGGAAAGGGAGGTAATTCACGTGGAAAGGAAAAGCAAATATTTGGTAAACAGAACTTTGATAAGAATGGGCTTAGCAAGGACCCTCCCAGTCTATTGATACCCAGAGCTATCTATGGTGGTGACCTGGCCTGGGGACAGGTCTTTTATCTTAAATTCTTTTAGGCAGTTAGGGAGAAGGCCAAGGTTTCTTTCATAGTGTTTTGTTCTTAAAAATAATCAAACCAAGACAAAGAGACACATTTTGGGATGGCCAATTCTGATCCCCCACACTATCATGGGGGAAAGAATGGAATGCTATTTGATTAAAGAGGACCTCTTTCCATTATAAACTCAAGATGACCTCCCCAAGGAAGAAACATTTGACCTGAGATTATTTTATGTTTCTGATATAAAGGTGTCTTTGAATGGCCCTAAATTTCCATCCTGGTACTTAGATTGTTGAGAATGGTCTGTCTCTACGTCTAGAGCATGCACTCCCAGCAGTGGTGTTATCATCGTTAAGGCAGCAAAAATTGATTCTTGGAAGGCAAAAAAACCTTACTATTTTTAGGTATAAAAATAGGTATATATACAGTACATAAACAGATATATAGTATATCTGTGGTATTAATGTTTCATGGAGGAGGGAGGTGGCTAGAAAAAAAAGTCTGAAAAGGCCCCTTCATGGAGTGATAATGAGAAAAGTGTTGAGAAACACTGGTCCAGACTCTCTCCAGCCTCTCAAAAGATATTTATTTAGAGGCTGCTTTCAAGAAAGAATTGTTAGAGGCAGGGGGGATATAATGATGGATAGGGTAAACATGGGCCCATGAGTGTTAGTCAGGGAGAAAACACAAAAATAGCAAGAAAGTAGAGGAAATAATTACAGATTATGATAAATGCTGTGAAAAACCACACAGGGCCTGAAACAGAAAATAATAAGATTAGACCTCTTTGATGGCAAGGCCATGGGAGGTCTTTCTGAGAAGGGCCCTGGCTTTGAAAACAGGGGTTCCATAGTATAAGCCCTGGTGGTTGTTTTTTCCTTTTTGTAACACAAGTGCCTCCCCTAAACTTTCATTGCCAAGGCCTACACCTCAAAGATGGCTATCTTGAACAAAGACGCTGCCAGCCACCAGACAAAGAGCCAGGCCACCTTCCCTCACCCCTGCCCCCTAGACTCCTTCGTTTTAGAGAACTTGGTTGATTTCTGATAACTGATCATTTGGGAAGGTTGTTTTTTCTCTTCCCATGCTTTAAATTCTCACTCTTATGTTTTAAATTCACCAAAAAAGAGTGAGCCCACGCCACCCTAGGCCCCACCCTCAACCTCAATAAAAGCAGAATGCCAGACCTGTGACCTCAATGCATGGCCCCACGTGTGCCATGTGCTTTCCAGGACCTATGAGTAATAAACATTTTTTTTTCTTTCAAAGTTTCCTTATGGTTTCTGCTGAGGGCATCTTGCAATCATAGCAAGAACCACAAGGGATGCTCCAGCCACAATACTGATCATCCATAGACTGAGACCAGCACAAGGCAAGTTCCTATTTGTATGCCTGTTCATTTATCTCCTAATTTGCACAGATCTGTGTAATACATAGGAGCAGCCTTTTTACTAATTTGCAATTTTCTCTTATTTTCCTCTCTAGCAGCTTCATGTCAGCCTATGTAAATGTCAAAAAGTCTTTGGTATCTGCTTTGACACATTGACTTTGTATGATTCACACGATAAAATATAGCAAGACACCACACTCACCAGGTGTGCCCATATTAGGAGCCCCATGTGGAACCAAAGGTTGTGTGAATTCATGGCAATAAAGGGGTTTTCCATTTGAAAAATAAAGAAAAAGTTATTTGAATACTAGAAAATCCACGGCTTGGCATTCTCAGAAAACCCAGGTACAACCTTGGAGATATTTCTTCTGAGAGACTTGAACTGTTGGAATATGACCACCAACATCTAGAAATGCACAGCTGCCAGAGTTGAAATACAAACAGTGTTCAGAAAGATAGCTACGTTAATATTTTTAGAATCCAGGGCAAGATATGATTTTTACTTCCCCTTTTATAATTCTTGCAGATCTCATCTGAGTACAACCCTCCTGTCCTCCTGTGTGCATGGAAGATAAGTTTGGCTTTCGGTGAGAAAGACTTTCCCTGCCCTCACCCAAAGGCCAAGTCCCCATGCTTCTGTGGCTGCTGCTGCTGATCCTGGGTGAGTAGATTGATCGGACCGGGACAGGGTCCAATCAGTTTCTAATGTCAGCCAGGAAAAAAAAAAAAAAAGAAGGAGCTTCTGTCTCCACTTCCACTTAGGGTTCAGAGACAGATAGCAAGAGAATGAATACGAGCAGAGCTGGGTTCCCAATGTCAATGAAAATAATCTGTAACCAATCTATAAATCAAAACTAGGCTGAGCGTATTATGAGCCAGATCTGAAGACCATATAGTCTAGGAGATTCTTTTCACAAAGGAATGGAGCACTCCAAAGAAGTGGGGGTTGACAGAGTGGTTATATACCATCAAAGAGCATGTATCGCATACGATTGGAATGTCTCTTTTACAATAGTCATGAGATTGCTTTGCTGGCACAGCGATTCACACAGCAAGTGGTGAATACAGCAAGTGGCAGGTCTGTGGTCTCAAGCTGCGTGGTCACAAGGTGAATGCAGCAGCCAGCAGTTAATTTGTAGCCTAGGGAGAGATGTTTATCCTTAAGGAAATACCAATGGGGGGGATGTTACATCTTTATCTTTAAGGGTACTGTTCTTGTCTTTGGGACATAGTAAATACTTAAAGCAGATATACAATGCATGCTCGATGGCTATGTCAGACCTTTGGAAAAACAATTCAGGCTGAATTAGTTTTACACAAATTGGCTTCCTCATATACTCCAATATATCCTATTGCTTGCCATTTATTTATCACTAGGAAAACCAAAGGCATTGAATACAGCTATCAGGGCAAGTCAAGAATGTTACCCTTGGTTTCTCATCCATTTCTTTTTAATCTCATAGGAAGCTTGGATTTTTCTTTCTTCCAAACCACTCTAAGTCCCTCAGATAAAAAGTTACCTCCAAAACTTAGGCAAGTGAGGGAAGACCTACTGAGAAACATGACTCTCTTCCTGAGATTTTAAGCCACTGTTTAACCAGAGATTGAAAAAGTAGGAGGAACAATGTCCAAGAAATGAGGGGGAGGATAAATCATTTCTCCAAGCCCTTCTCTGCCTCTGTACTGCTAAGTTCAGGCTAGAGAAGAGAGGGAGGGAATGAAGTATGCAGAGCAAAGAGGTGAGTCAGGGTTGTGGATACGGTCATTCATGTTTATAAAATATAGGTGACTTTGTTTGTTTGTCTGGAGGCTATGGTGGTATAGAACTGGGGCAGAGAAACAGAAAGGAAAAACTAAAGAAGTGGTTGTGGCTGGGTTGTTGGAAAATTTCTCAGAGAATATCTAACTGAAAATGTTTTAAAAACATTGCTCTGTGCTAATCTTTAAATCTTGGCCCCCTCACAGCTCCTGGAAGAGAACAATCAGGTCAGTTTTCCCTTCTCTCTATTCCTCTTGGTCTCTGGGCATTTGTCCTCTTGGTAAGCACAGCCTGTCTCCATAAATGAAGGCTGCAGGGCTGTGCCAACATCAGTGGTGTTGCTACTCTGAGGTCACGCCTGTTGCTATGGTGGGTGAACAGACTCTCCTTTGATTTCTCCAATCTTCAGATGCCTCAGTGTAGGAGAAGGAAGCGTTTACAGAGGGAAGGGCAGAGGCAGGAGACTGATGTTGAGAGAACCTTAGATACGATCTCTTTTATTCCCTAAGACCCCTCCTTCTGTATGTCCAAGCTAGTGCCATTATCAAAGGGCGTAGAAATAGCTCCCATCCACAGAGGAAAATGCTACAGCCAAATCTTTATACATCTCCAAAAGGAGCTGATGTCACTGTCATGCCTTGACTTCTGGTCACATCGGTCAGTTGCAATTCTATACACAAATATGATTTGTATATATGACTTCTCAAGCAGCCCCATGCCCCTTCATTCAAATTCTTGTATCCCTCAATTATTGATTGCCTCCAAGTTAGATGGAGAGTAGAAAAAAGTTGTTTTCCCCATAGAATCTCAAATTAAGAAGGTTTAAAAGTAATGAAAATTTAAAAAACACTTGTTCCTCAAATATTAACAAGTAAGTAGGAAGTGGTTTTTCAAAGTCTAGAAGCTGCCTCTGAGGTACATACATTCCAGGCTCACATTTATCTTGACAAGAATGTATAGGACAAGATCATTTCAGAATCAGCCCACCTTTGGAGGCCCTCACAGTGTTTTCCTAACAACAAATCACATTTCCTGAGCTTTTCTGAGCCCACACCAGGGACCTGAGAGCTATCTCCTATGACACCCACCTGTCCACCTCCAGGCTAGGCAAAGAATGAGGAAGAACAGATCCTGTCCCAGGCATTTCCCCAGGTTGTTTCTGTCCCATTTCTAATCCTGGTCCTAATAAGAATTAGGCCAAGAAAACTCCCAGCTGCAGGCCAGGCCCTCCCCTGTTCTCTTCCCATTCACCTTCCTTCTTCACTTCCCATTTACCTGTTCTCTTCCCATTCACCTGCCTTCATCTTTCTATTTCCTGTTCAGGATTAGCTCCAAAGGCTTTTCTCCTCCTCACTCCTTCATGGACCACAAACTTCAAAGGAGAGAAAGTGACTCTCACATGCTGGGATTCCCATTCTCCAGCCAAGGGGGACATATATTGGTATTATAATGACAATTTTTGGAAAAAAGAATCTGGAGATCTCCAGATAAATATGTCCGGATATTACAAATGCAAGACCCAAAGATCTTCCTTCAGTGACCCTGTGCATGTGGAATTTTTATCTGGTAAGGAAAGAAAGGAAGAGTTTCTGAAATAAAGCCACTGGGCAGCATGTCTGAGGGCTGGGTTAATGCAGAGGGCCCATGAGGCATGAGGATATGGGAAGTGCTGCCCCAGAAAATAACGAGATATAGCAGCAGCAGGATGCTGCATTGTCCATCTTCTCCACCCAGAGAAGTGTTGGTAACCCAGAAGTCGCTAGGCAAAAGGGGATCCAGGTCTGAAGAAAGATATGGTATAAAATTCCTCTTTTAATGATATGTATGGAAATTTCTTAAAGACATATCCTGGGATTAGTTCACTAACCCAGGACAAGGGAGAGTCGGGTATTGGGACCACATGGAAATGTTGATGGAGGACATTTGCAAGTGTGTATAGGACTGTAGTTCTTTCCTCATGGGAAGAAAAGAGAGCTTGAAGAAAGAAGCAGCAAGGATAAATTAAGCATTTTCCTCCATTCTTTGCAGATTGGCTGATCCTCCAAGCTTCCCACCCTGTCTTTGAAGGAGATAATATAACTCTGAGATGCCGGGGGAAGAAAGAAGCAGATATTAGGGAAAAGATTTACTACAAAGATGGAGAAAAACTTGTTGTTAGTTATGACTCAGGCTCTGTCAGACTAAATTCAATCTCCAGGATCAGTGGAAAATATCATTGTACTGCTTCTGGGGGAGGTTTTTGGAGACGATGGGAACAAACCTCAAAACCTCTAAGGATCCAAGTGCAAGGTAATGGCTACACTCCTGTGGGTAATAGGGCTTGGCGGGGAAATTGAGTGCATGGGGATTGAGGGAGGGTGCTCATCAGGGGGGATTTCATGAAAAGCCTCTTCTGGCCTAGCCATGGGGGGGAGATGAGAAGTGATTCCATCTGCTTGGGTCCCTATCCCCTGATGGCCGGTGCTGAAAACACAGGTGCATCTCCCCAGGAGCTCTGAGCCTCACTGCCCCGGGAATTGTATTTGTTCTTCTCTCTAGAGCTGTTTCCACCTCCTCTGCTGACAGCCAGCTCCTCCCAGCCCATAGAGGGGAACCCAGTAACCCTGAAGTGTGAGACCTGGCTCCCTCCACAGAAGTCATACATTCAGCTTCAATTCTGTTTCTTCAGAGAAGACAAAGTCCTGGGGTCAGGCTGGAGCAGCTCCCCAGAGCTTCAGATCCCTGCCATATGGAGTGAAGACTCAAGGTCTTACTGGTGCCAGGCAGGGACAGTGACTCACAGTGTCATGAAAAGAAGCTTGAAATCCCAGATACATGTGCAGAGTGAGTGTCTGTGGCTCTTTCAGATTCACAGCTAGGGAGAGGAGAACAGAACAATGACATCTTCTGCTCCCTGGGATAGTGAACATAACAGAGAGGTGCTTCCAGCCATCCTGGTATCCTTCTCTCTTTAGGACTAACATTAGCCTAATCTCCCTAGAATATCCTCTTCCATCTAAGTCAGGTAATAGTAGTTATTGATCAGTTACTGGGTTCCCAACCCCCTGAGGGCTACAGAGACACATATGATATGTTCTCTCGTGAGTCAACATATAACTAGAAGCACAAATGACCACATGCATTCTTTAGAGGTCCCCATAGTGCTTCCATGTGTTGACCTAAAATTGCTCCAAAATAATCAGAAAAGAGGAAGACAAACATGAACTGGAATAGTCAGAAAAGAATGTGGGAAGATAGAAGTGATACTGGAGAAGAGTCTTGAAAGATAGGAGAGGGGTTGGATTCTGAGTAAAGTCACTTTAGGATAGAAGTAATTCCTGTGATCTCTTATTTTGTTGTCCATTGGTGCATCAAAGATTCCTTAGAGATAAATGTCCATAAAACGTGACTGCAGTCAACATTAGGTTTAAGATTAAGGGCTTGGTGCCCACATTTCCCAAGGATGGTAATTGTTATGTGTGGAAGGAGGGGATGTTGCTCCCTTTATAATAACATATATAATTAATTCTTTATTTCCTACTTTGGACCCCTGCCTATAGCACCTATTGCTATTGGCTTATTCATGGCAGCACCAGCCTTCCCCTTGACCCTGAAGTCCCTGCCATTGAGACCCTCATGTGTCATCTTGTGTCCTTCTAGGAGTCCCTGTATCTGATGTGAATATAGAAATGCAGCCCCCTGGGGGGCAGCTGATTGAAGGAGAAAATCTGGTCCTTATCTGCTCAGCAGCCAAGGGTACAGGGACTATCACATTCTCCTGGCACAGAGAGGGCATAATAAGAAGTTTGGGAAGAAAGACCCAGCGTTCTCTGTCAGCAGAGCTCTGGATACCCACTGTGAAGGAAAGCGATGCTGGGAGATATTACTGTGCAGCTGACAACTTTCAAGGCCCCATCCTCAGTGAATGGATTACAGTCACACTGAGAAGTAAGTTCCCAATTCCTTTTACTCAGCCTTGGTTTGCAAGCCATGGTTTAGGTTCTCTGTCAGCCATGAGGATCTTTTGTTTTTTTCATCTGTAAATATTTCAGTATGTATCTTTATTTATTTATTTTTTTACATTAGTGGAGTATTTTTTTTTAGTGCAGTAACATTGGTTTATAACATTATATAAATTTTAGGTGTACATCATTATATTTCAATTTCTGTATAGATTACATTATGTTCACCACCCAGACTAATTACAATCCATCACCACACACAGGTGCCTAATCATCCCTTTTACTCTCCTCCGTCCCCACTTCCCCTCTGGTAACCACCAATCCAATCTGTCACTATGTGATTGTTTGTTGTTGTTTTTATCTTCTGCTTATGAGTGAGATCATGTGGTATTTGACTTTCTCCCTCTGACTTATTTTGCTTAGCGTAATGCCTTCAAGGTCCGTCTATGTTCTCACAAATGGCTGGATGTCATCATTTCTTACAGCTGAGTAGTATTCCATTGTGTATATATACCACATCTTTATCCATTTGTCCCTTGATGGGCCCCTAGGTTGCTTCCAAGTCTTTGCTGTTGTGAATAATGCTGCAATGAACATAGGGGTGGATATATCTTTACACATTCTGGTGTTTATGTTCTTTGGATAAACACCCAGCAGTGGAATAGCTGGATCATATAGTAGTTCTATTCTTAATTTTTTGAGGAATCTCCATACTGTTTTCCATAGTGGCCACACAAGTTGAAACACCGATCAGCAGTGTATGAGAGTTCCCTTCTCTCCACATCCTCTCCAACACTTGCTGTTTCCTGTCTTGTTAATTATAGCCATTCTGACAGGAGTGAGGTGACATCTCGTTGTAGTTTTGATCTGTATTTCCCTGATAGTTAATGATGTTGAACATCTTTTCATGTGCCTATTGGCCATCTCCTTGGAGAAATGTCTGTTCAGGTCTTTTGCCCATTTTTCAATTGGGTTGTTAGTTTTTTTGTGGTTGAGATGTATGTGTTCTTTATATATTTTGGATATTAACCCCTTTCACATGTGTGATTTGCAAATATATTCTCCCAATTGTTAAATTGTCTTTTCATTTTGTTGATGGTTTCCTTTGCTGTGCAGAAGCTTTTCAGTTTGATGTAGTCCCATCTGTTTATTTTTTCTATTGTTTCCCTTGCTCAGTCAGACATGGTACTTCAGAATATGCTGCTAAGATGGATGTCAAAGAGCGTACTTCCTATGTTTTCTTCTAGAAGTTTCATGGATTCAGGTCTTACATTCAAGTCTTTAATCCATTTGGAGTTAATTTTTGTGTATGGTGTAAGATAATGGTCTACTTTTACTTTTGTGCATATGGTTATCCAGTTTTCCCAACACCGTTTATTGAAAAGATTTTCCTTTCTCCATTGTATGTTCTTGGCTCCCTTGTAAAAAATTAGCTGTCCATAGATGTGTGGGTTTATTTCTGGGCTTTAGATTCTATTCCATTGATCTGTGTGTCTATTTTTGTCCCAGTACCATGCTGTTTTGGTTACTATATCTTTGTAGTATATTTTGAAATCAGGGAATGTGATACTTCCAGCTTTGTTCTTTTTTCTCAGGATACTTTTGGCTATTCTGGGTCTTTTCTTGTTCCATATAAATTTTAGGATTCTTTGTTCTATTTCTGTGAAAAGTGTTGTTGGAACTTTGATAGGGATTGCATTGAATCTGTAGATTGCTTTAGGATGTACGGACATTTTAACTATGTTAATTCTTCCAAACCAGGAGCAAGGAATATTTTTCCATTTCTTTGTGTCTTCAATTTCATTCAACAATGTTTTATAGTTTTCACTGTACAGATCTTTCACCTCTCTGGTTAAATTTATTCCTAGGTATTTTATTCATTTTCTTGCAATTGTAAATGGGGTTGTATTCTTAATTTCTCTTTCTGCTACTTCTTCGTTAGTGTATAGAAACACAACTGATGTTTGGATGTTGATTTTGTATCCTGCAAATTTACCATATTCATTTATTATTTCTAAAAGTTTTTTGGTGGATTCTTTAGGGTTTTCCATATATAAAATCATGTCATCCTCAAATAATAACAGTTTTATTTCTCCCTTTCCAATTTGACTCCCTTTTATTTCTTTTTCTTGCCTGATTGCTCTGGCAATGTGGCTAGATAGGATATTTATTACGTTAAATAGGAGCTGTGAAAGTGGGTATCCTTGTCTGGTTTCTCTTCTTAGAGGGATAGCTTTCAGTTTATCACTGTTGAGAATGATATTAGCTGTGGGTTTGTCATATATAGCCTTTATTATTTTGAGGTACTTTCCTTCTATACCCATTTTATTCAGAGTTATCATCATAAATGGATGCTGTATCTTGTCAAATGCGTTCTCTCCTTCTATTGAGATGATCATGTGATTTTTATTCTTCATTTTGTTAATGTGGTGTATCACATTGATTGATTTGCAGATGTTGAACCATCTCTGCATCCCTGGAATAAATCCCACTTGACCATGGTATATAATCTTTTTAATGTATTGTTGTATTTGATTTGCTAGTATTTTGTTGAGGATTTTTGCATCAATGTTCATCAGTGATATTGGCCTGTAATTTTCTTTTTTGGTGTTGTGCTTCTCTGGTTTTGATATCAGGGTAATTTTGGCTTCATAGAATGAGTTAGGAAGCTTCTGTTTCTCTTCAAATTTTTGGAAGAGTTTGAGAAGGATAGGTATTGAGTCTTTGAATGTTTGGTAGAATTCACCTGGGAAGCCATCTGGTCATGGACTTATATTTTTGGGGAGGTTTTATGTATTGTACTTTTAGTCTCTGTTTCATTTATTTCTGCTCTGATTCTTATTATTTCCCTTCTTCTACTGATTTGGGGCTTTGTTTGTTAATCTTTCTCCAGTTCCTTTAGGTGCACTGTTAGATTGTTTGAGATTTTTCTTGTTTGTTGAGGTAGGCCTGTATTGCTATATACTTCCCTCTTAGAACCACTTTTCTTGTATCCAACCAAGTCTGGTGTGTCTTGTTTTTATTTTCATTTGTCTCCAAGCATTTTTTGATATCTCCTTTGATTTATTCATTGACTCAATTGTTTTTCAGTAGCATTTTGTTCAATATCCACATACCTGTGGCTTTTCTGATTTTCTTCCTGTAGTTGATTTCTAGTTTCATACTGTTGTGTTCAGAAAAGATACTTGGTACTATTTCAATCTTCTTAACTTTGTGGAGACTTGTTCTGTGGCCTAAAATGTGATCAGTCCCGGAGAATGCTCCATGTGCATTTGAAAAGAATGTGTATTCTGTGGTTTTTGGTTGGAAAGTTCTGTATATCTCAACTAAGTCCATCTGGCCTGGTGTGTCGTTTAAGGTCAGTGTTTCCTAATTGATCTTCTGTTTGGATGATCTATCCATCAGTGTAAGTGGAGTGTTATGGTGCCCTACTATTATTGTGTTACTATCTTTTTCTCCTTTTATGTCTGTTAATAATTGCTTTATATATTTAGTTGCTCCTATGTTTGATGCATAGATATTTAGAAGTGTTACATCCTCTTGTTGGATTGTTCCCTTGATCATTAAGCAGAGCCCTTCTTTGTCTCTTGTTACAGTTTTTGTTTTAAAGTCTATTTTGTCTGAGATAAGTATTGCTCCCCTAGCTTTCTTTTCATTGTCATTTGCATGCAGTATCTTTTTCCATCCCTTCACTTTCAGTTTGTGTGTGTCTTTAGGTCTGAAGTGTGTCTCCTGTATGCATATGAGTCTTGTGTGTTTTTTTTCCCCAGTCTCTTTATTTTTTAATTGAAGTATAATTGACATACAATAAAATGCAGAGATTTTAACTATTTTTTTTGATGACTCTTTTACCCACTGCATTTAAAATATAAAACATTCAAATAATCCCATAAAAGTCCCTCAAATCTCTTTTAAATCAACCCCTTTCCTCCACCCAAGCAATCCCTGATCGGGTATCTATCAGATGGATTAGTTTTTTCTGTTTTGAGCTTCATGTGACTGGAATCCCATTCTGTGCACTTCATGGTGTCTGACTCTTTCCTTATACATCACAGCAGTATTTATATGTATCTTCATCACTAGTTTCTTCATCCAATCAGCCAACGCAAACCTTTTGATTGGAGCATTTATTCCATTGAAATTTAAAGTAGCTATTGATAAGTGTGTATTTATTGCCATATTTTTAATTTTTTTCTGTATGTTTTAGTAGATCCTCTCTGTTCCTTTCTTCTTCTCTTGCTCTCTTCCCTTGTGGTTTGATGGCTTTCTTTAGTATTATGTTTGAGTTCCTTTCTCTTAGTTTTCTGTGTATTTATTATAGGTTTCTCTTTCATGATTACCATGAAGTTCATATATAATAGCCTAGGTACGTAGCAATCTATGTTAAGTTGATGGTCTCTTTAGTTTGACCTCTTTCTAAAAGCTCTACTCTTTTACTCCCCTTCTCCTCAATTTTATGTTTTGGATATTATATCTAACCTCTTTTTTGTGCATTTGTTATCTGTTAAACTCTTATCATGGAAATAGATAATTTTTTCCTATTTGTGGTCTTCTCTTTCCCCCTTAAGTAAGTCCCTATAGCATTTCTTGTAGGACTGGTTTCTTGGTGATAAACTCCTTTAATTTTTGCTCAGCTGGGAAACTCTTTATCTCTCCTTCCATTCTGAATGATAACCTTTCTGGGTAGAGTATTCTTGGCTGTAGGTTTTTTGCCTTTAGTACTTTAAATATATCATGCCACTCTCTACAAGTCTGTAAGGTTTCTGCTGAGAAGTCAGCTGATAGCTTTATGGGGTATGTATGTAACTTGTTGCCCCTCTCTTGCAACTTTTAGGATTCTCTCTTTATTTTTAATTCTGGACACTTTAATTATGATGTGTCTTGGTGTGGGCCTCTTTGGGTTTATCTTGTTTGGTGCTTTCTGTGCTTCCTGTACCTGGATGTCTGTTTCCTTTCTTAGGTTAGGAAAGTTTTCAGCTATTATTTCTTCAAATAGATTCTCTGCTCCTGTCTCTTTCCTCTCCTTCTGAGGCACCTATAACATGGATGTTAGTGTGCTTGATGTTGTCCCAGAGGTCCCTTAGACTGTCCTCGCTCTTTTTAATTCTTTTTTTCTTTTATCTGTTCAGCTTGGGTGATTTCCTGTAGACTTTCATCCAGCTTGCTGATCCATTCTTCTGTATCATCTACTCTGCTTTTAAGTCCCTCTAGTGAATCTTTCATTTCCAGTATTGTATTCTTCATTTCTGATTGGTTCTTTTTTTCCCTTTCTTTGTTGACATTCTCACTGAGTTTGTCCATTCTTCTCCCAAGATCAGTGAGCATCCTTATAACTCTTTGAACTCTTTATCAGGTAGGTTGGTCATTTCTGTTTCATTTGGTTCTTTTTCTGGGCTTTTGTCCTGTTCCCTTACTTCGAAAGTATTCCTCTACCTCCTCATTTTGCCTCTTTCTCTGTGCTTGTACCTATGTATTATTTAGGTCAGCTACATCTCCTGACCTTGGGGAGGTGTTCTTATGTAAGAGATGCCTTATGAGGCCCAACAGTGTGCTTCCCTCTCCTCACCAGTTCCAAATATTCCAGGAGTGACCCCTGTGTGGGCTGTGTGTGTCCTTCTGTTGTGGCATGGTTGCTCTTGCTGTAGATATCCAGGGAGGCTGAGCTGTTCCCCTGGCCGGCTGGTTGTTATGCTCACCTGGTGTGGCTGTTATGGATCTTTCAGTCTCTTTATCAGGTGTAAGGAACCCCAGCACAGTTCACTGCAAGGTCTAATGGCACATTCCTCTTGCAGTTTTTCTGTTAAGTGAGTAGTCCCCCTGTGTGACTGGTTGTTAGGCTCAGGGGATTACAATTGCTGTAGGCCTCTGGCCTATAAGACTCCTGTCAGCTATCTCAGGACTGCAGCTGGGTGGGGCTGCCCCCAGGCAGGGGATCATCCAGTTGTTTCAGGCTTTGGAAGGTGGGGCCGATCCCCTGTCTGGTTGTTTGAGAAGCACAAGTCTTCTGCAGCCAACAAACGCCACTGCCCACAGGGCCACAAACACCATCAACACAGTTCTGCCTCTTGTGACCCCCTCTTCTGACCCCTTGAAGCAGACTCAGTCACCCCACACAGAGGCCGTACACACTCCACCAATGCCCCACCCCCTCCATCCACTCCTTGTGCAGGCCCTGCCCTGCAGAGGTGGACCCACTCACCACCTGCAGTGAATCCAGGCAGCTAGCCTATGCAGGCCCAAAAGTTGCCCACGGGCTTGCTGTTGAGTGAGGCCAGTCCCTAGGGCAGGCTGCCCCCCAGCTGAGCTGGATTCACTCAGTGCTCCAGTGTGTGGGGCAGACCTCTGCACTAACAGGCTGGAGGAAGAATTCTAACGGCGTCTGCCAGTGTCTGTATCAGCATGCCTGCCCCAGGTCACAGCAATGGCTGCCTCCAATGTCAGTCCCTGGAGAGGTCTCATCTCTCACTGAGACACACCCAGGGCCTATCGGGTGAGTCTCTTTTCACAAAAGGCCTGTGCATATTTCTTTCTGGTGATTTTAGGTTGCTTTCCAGAATGGGTGAATTTGTGCATGGGCCCTTTAAGAGTTGGCTTTTTTTTCTTTCTGTCAGATAGCCTGTCTGGGTGTATTCCCCATTGTTGTTATTAGCCAGCAAAGCCAGGTATTATAACATTCACCTTGGTTGTGCTGGGTCTAAAAAATGCTGATAGCACCAATGCTCCGCTGCTCAGGCCCGCCACTCCTTCAGGGAAGGCTGTGTACCTTTGGATTGCTCCCGGGCAGCCTGAAGCACTGCAGCTTATGAAGTTGGCTTTTTTTCTCTCCAGAAGGGAATTTCTACCTCTTCCACCTCAGTGAGGACTGTCGCATGTTGCAGGGGTTCCTCTTATCCAGTTTTCAGTTCTCTCTCAGAGGTAATTGTTCCAAGAGTAATAGTTAGGTCTGTTGTGTCCATGGGAGGAGATGAGTTCAGAGTCTGCCTATGCCACCATCTTGATACCAATTCAGCAAGGATCTTCTAAAGAAGACAAAGAAACAGAGGTGTGAAGATTTAAAAGCTAACCACGGAAAGGCAAAGAGGGCAAAATAAATCGAAGACACCTTACTTCTGTGGAGAGGATTGAGTAGTGATAAAAACAAAATTATCTAAGATTACTCCTCATGACTCAAGAAATATACCTATTTTCAGGCTTCTTGAGTGGGGTTATGAATCTGCCACAGCTTCAGAGTCCTTCTCTGACAGCTCTTTTTCCTCCCTCAGTTCCAGTGTCTCGCCCCATCCTCACCCTCAGGGCTCCCAGGGCCCAGGCTGTGGTGGGGGATGTGGTGGAGCTTCATTGTGCGGCCTGGAGAGGCTCTCCTCCAATCCTGTACCAGTTTTATCATGAAGATGCCACCCTGGGGAACAGCTTGGCCCCCTCTGGAGGTGGAGCATCCTTAAACCTCTCTCTGACTGCAGAACATTCTGGAGCCTATTCCTGTGAGGCTCACAATGGCCTGGGAGCCCAACACAGTGAGAGAGTGATTCTCAACATCACTGGTAAGTAGGCTATGCCCGTGGCAGTTAGAGCCAAGAACAGACTATGTCCTCTCCCAAACAGAGCTCCTTTGGGCTATTTGCTGGTGTAATATCCCAGCAGACTCCCCACTTTTTCTGCCTCCACCTGAAATTCTGGGATTCTTCCTTCTGACTATACATTCAGTAACTTAGACAATTCCTTTATTTCCTCTGTCATTGTCACCAACAGCCATATATTCCACACAGTCTCCCTAGTAGAGGCACAAAGATTTCCCAAAATACCAGATATATGATGGTTCAGCAATTTCTGATGAAAGAACATAATATAGAAAGCTTAATTTTTAAATTCCTTTGTCCAAGAACAAATGACAAGACCATTCCTTGCCAAAGTTTTCTGCCCCTACTCCCATACAATCTAAATTCCTGCTTGGCTCTCTGGATTACCAGACAAAGTGTCTCTCCTTGTGGACACCCACAGCTATAAGAGCAGTAGAGCTTTCTCATGGCCTTCAGATTAATGGCCTGTCTGGCCTTCTCACTTTCTCCAAATGCCTTCTGACTCTTTGAATGTTAGGATATCATTTATTATGATGCTCTCAGTATCTCCAAACAAAATATTTCTTCACCAGAGTTATCAAGGAATCTTTATTTCCTACTTCCATCACGTTGACAATTAGCGATGTGCCCATCCATTTAGGAGAGACCCTTAGTCTGTGCCATGATTATTCCAAAATGCCCAGCATTTGGAAGGTGAGGTGGAGCCCTGGAACTTAGGAAGAATTGGCAGGATAAAAGAGACAGTGATGACTCCCAGCTCCTCAAATATTTACATTCTCTGGATTTTGCCATGGCTTCTTGTTCTCCAACTATTCTGAACTATTGGAATACTTATGATATCTTGGTTAATAATGATTCTTCCTATGGGCCAAATTTAGGTTATGATTGAGGGAGTTTTTAGAACCTAGGAGAGCCAGACAGTGTGCTGAAACTGGGATTCCAGCCTCGAACAAGAAAATATCTATTTATGTGACCTTGAACAAGTCTCTTTACTAGACTTGTCCTCAGTTTCCTCACTTATAAAGTAGTTGAGTCAAGTAAATCATGGAGGCACAAACATTCCTGAGCCTACACCACTTTCTGTCAAAAGTGTTGAACATGTATCCTAAATACTTGTTTATTAATTATATACATGTACTACTGTACTAAATATGCACACTATAAAACACAGAAATATAAATTAAATAAGGATAAAATATTTTTAAATAGTCTTAGAATCTTTGACTAAAATAGTAATTGAATATGATTTTTTTATTTTGAAAATCTTGGTTTATTCTTTGTGGTACAGTTATTTGATGCCTTGTTATGAGTTTGTCTTGTTCCAATTGGTTTCAGTGGCTGCTATTACTTAAAAGTTATCTTGCCAAGACATCCAGATCCAAGTGGAAACAGAGCATCTCTGATACCCATTTTTCAATCCCATGCAGTAATTATGCAAAGATTTTCATTGAAATTTGGCTAGTAGATTTCCATTTTTATTAATGTCGAGAAATTCTTATAAAATAAGTGGGAAGTGTTGCATATTTAAATTTATTACAAATGAGTTTAAGCTTTGAAAGAAGTATAAACTCATTGCTACATGCTGTTTCCACACATTTTTACATGTGTAGATATAAATTTTTGAAGTTGATATATTGAAATTTTCTGATAATAAAACCATATAGAAGTATAAATATTTTTAAACAATTTTACAAAATATTATCTCTATCACATGAGTTTATTTAGAAAGCATTAATAATATGAGTACTGTTAAAAATCTTTTTTTAAGTGTCTGACTAAATATTATACTATTGGGTCACTGATTACTAAAACAAATAAATATATAAAATCACCAAAAATAAAATAATGATCTTTCTTCATAGAAAAACACACAGATAATCTTTATATTTACCTCCTCCTTTTTAGAACTTTGCCACAAAATAATTGAAAAACTTCTATGTGGTACAAACAGATGTTGTGGTTATTACCCAATTTCATTACAAAGCAATTTAAACACTTAAGTTAAAATAATCTGTAAAAATACTTAACTAAAAGGGCAATATGTTCCCATATGCTGAAAATGAACAAACAGCTGAACGCTCTACTGTCCACTCTTCCATGTGGTGGGGATCTCACTGCCTTCACAAGAACTCCCTTACAGATCTTAGCACAGGGTACGACACATGGCCTGAGTAAGAGTGCCAATATGAATATTAGTAAATCTGAATTTCTTTCTTACCTTAAAGTTAAAAACTAAGTACTCAAACATTGTCATATTTTCTTCCCTCACTCCTTTGGGTTGTTTTGGACCCCATCTTGGAGCTCACTGAACCTGATGATAACCTTGGTCTCTTTCAGCCCTAAAATTCTCTGATTTTGTGGGGATGTGTATATAGAACCAGAAGGTTGGTGAACCCTGGAGGGAGAAATGTATGGGAAGAAGCTGAGAATCACTGCTCCCATCTTACAAAAGCCTGGAGAAATAGGAGGCTGGGAGGATTCTGGGAAGATGGCAGAGTAGGAAGCACCAGGAATCTGTCTTCTTACCTAGAAGTGCACTGGCAAAATCTGTCTGATGTAATTATTTTGGGATTCTGGATTCTACTGAGAGCTTGAAACTCCCACAGAAAGGCTTTGTCAGTAAATTGAAGTTTACTTCAGTCAATTTCAGCTCTTAGCACAGTAGCAACTACCCAACTCCCACCCTCAACCCTGTAGCAGGCAGCTGTGCATGTGTTCCTTGAGCAGCTTGCACACAGCTTGTGGGGAGCTGGGGTGGGTGGGCAAAAAGGACCCTGGCCTCCAAATATTGGGTAATCTGTGCTCTGATTCCTAATTGCTGCTTCTGATCACAGAAGTACAAAAAGTCAGGCAGCCTAGGTTGTTGTACCTCCTCCCTCTCTTGCAAGCTCCTCGCCCTCCAGCTGAAGTGACTTCCAGAGGATTTAAAGGGTTGGCACCCCTTTTCTCCCCTCTTCATCTTTCTCTTTTTCTTCTTTTTGGAGCCAGACATTAAGGACTAGGAGATTCATAAACTGCATATACAGGAATAATTAGAAAGTGAGTGTGCATGCCCAAGGAAAGGGTCAGAAAAGACCTTAGAAGACCTTAAGTTTACACCTCAGGCTGATCCTTGGCACAGAGAACAGCCTACAATAATCAAAAAGTAAAAACAATAAACAAAAACAATAATGAAAAACATCAAACCCTGGGAGAGGGGGAGAATCTGATTTTCAGAGCTACCAGATTACTAAGTTCAAATGTCCAGTTCAACAAAAAAAATCATAAGACATACAAAGAAACGGGAAAGTATGCTCCATTCAAAGAAAAAAAAAAATAAATCAACAGAAACTGGCTCCGAAAAAAGACCTGATCTCAGACATGCTAGACAAAGAATTTAAGAGAACTACAGTAGTCTCTCCTTATTTGCAGGGGATACATTCCAAGACACCCAGTGGATCCCAGAAACCACAGATAGTACTGAACTCTATCTTCACTAAGTACTTATTCATGCACAGCGGCCGTAGCTTTTGTGGTTTGAGGTGCGACAACAAAACGAGCATGGATTTCTTTTTCCTTCACAATTTCATGGATAGAAGATTCGTTCTTACCATAGATCTTAGCAATCTCAGCATACGATTTTTTTTCTTTCATTATTAAGTTGAGAACTTTCACCTTTTCCCTTAAAGGAAGAACTTTACAGCTTCTCTTTGGCATACCTGAATTGCCAGCATCATTACTTTTGCACTTTGGGGCCGTTATTAAGTAAAATAAGGGTTACGTGAACACAAGCACTGCAATACTGTGATAGTAGATCTGATAATCGAGATGGCTACTAAGTGACAAATGGGCAGGTAGCATATACAATGTGGATATGCTGGACGAAGGGATGATTCATGTCCCAGGCAGGATGGAGCAGGATGGTGCTCCTCTAAGACCAGGAATAAGGCAAGGATGCCCACTTTTGCCACCTCAATTCAGGAGAGTATTGGAATTTCCAGCCAGAGCATTTAGACAAGAAAAAGAAATAAAGGCATCCAGATTGTAAAGGAAGAATTTAAAATTATCTCTGTTCACAGATGACATGATTTTATATGTAGTAACCCCTAAAGATTGCACACACACACACGCACACACACAAAACTTAAAGCTAATAAGTGAATTCATCAAAGTAGCAGGATACAAAGTCAACATGAAAACATCAGCTGCATTTCTATACACTAAAAATGAATAATCTGAAAAGGAAATTATGAAAACCATTCCATTCAAAATATCATCAAAAAGAATAAAATACTTAGAAATTGACTTAACCAAGGAGATGAAAGACTTGTACGGTAAAAAGTACAAAACATTGCTGAAAGAAATTATAGAAGACATATTTCACTTTGCATTATACCCTCAATGTCCATCCATGTTGTCACAAATGGCTGGATTTCATTGTTTCTTATGGCTGAGTAGTATTCCATTGTGTATATATACCACAGCTTCTTTATCCATTCATCCCCTGATGGGCACTTAGGTTGCTTCCAAGTCTTGGCTATTGTGAATAATGCTGCAATGAACACAGGGGTGCATGTACCTTTACAAATTGGTATTTTCAAGTTCTTTGGACAAATACCATATGATTTCCTTCATTAAGTAGTAGATAATAACAACAATAAACAAACACATAGGGACAGAGATTGGATTGGTGGTTACCAGAGGGGAAGGGGGGGGGCAGGAGGGTGAAAGGGATAATTCGGTACATGTGTGTGGTGATGGGTTGTAATTAGTATTTTGGTGGTGAACATGATGTAATCTATGCAGAATTAGAAGTACAATGATGTACACCTGAAATTTTTACAATGTTATAAACCAATGTTACTGCAATAAACAAAAAATTAAAAAAAAAAAAAGAAATTATAGAAGACAAAAATAAATGGAAACACATCCCATGTTCATGGATTAGAAGACTTAATATTGTTAAGATGTCAATAATACCCAAAGCAATCTACAGATTCAATGCAATACTTATCAAAATTCCAATGATGTTTTTTGCAGAAGTAGAAAAATCCATACTAAAATTCATATGGAATCTCAAAAGATGCCGAATAGCCAAAACAATCGTGAAAAAGAATGGAGCTGGAAGCAACACATTTCCTTCTTTCAAAATTTATTGCAAATCTACAGTAATCAAAATAGTGCAGTACTGGCATAAAGACAGACATATAGACCAATGGAGTAGAATAGCAAGCCCAGAAATAAACGGTCACATATATGGTCAAGTGATTTTTGGGAAGGGTGTCAAGACCATTCAATAGGGAAAGGATAGCCTTTTCAACAAACGTTGCTGGGAAAACTGAATACCCACGTGCAAAAGAATGAAGTTTGTCCTTTACCTAACACCATAGACAAAATTAACTTAAAATGGATCACAGACTTAAATTTAAGACCTAAAACTATAAAAGTCTTAGAATAAAATATAGGGCAAAAACTTCATGACATTGGATTTATACATTTTTTTTGGCACACACCAAAGACACAGGCAAAAAAATTAAAAAATAGGTGAATTGGACTTCATGAAAATTAAAAAAAATTGTGCATCAAAAGGCAATATCAACAGAATGAAAAGGCAACCCAGAGAATGAGAGAAAATATTTATAAATCATATATATAATAAGGGATTAATATCCAGAATATATAGAGAACTCCTAAAACTCAATAACAAAAAAACAAACAACCCAATTAAAAAGTGGGTAAAGGACTTGAATAGACATTTCTCCAAAGACGATATATAATGGCCAATAAACACGTGAGAAAATGCTCAAAATCACTGATTATTAGGAAAATGCAAATCAAAACTACAATGAAATACCACCTCACAACCGTTAGGATGGCTACTATTAAAAAAATGGAAAATAACAAGTGTTGACAAGGATGTGGAGAAATTGGAACCCTGTGTACTGTTGATGGGAATGTAAAATGGTGCAACTATTATGGAGAACAGTATGGAGGTTCCCCAAAAAATTAAAAATAGAACTACTATCTGATCCAGAAATTCCACTGTTAGGTATAAATCTTCAAAAATTGAAAGCAGGTTCTCAAAGAGATATTTGTACACCCATGTACATATCAGCATTATTCGTAATAGCTAAAACATGGAAGCAACCCATGTATCCATCAGTAGGTAAATGGATAAGCAAAATGTGGTGTACACATACAATGGGATATTATTTAGACTTAAAAAGAAAAAAAATTCTGATATGTGCTACAACATTGATGAATCTTGAGGCCATTATGCTAAGTGAAATAAGCCAGTCACTAAAAGACAAATACTATATGATTCCACTTATATAAGATACTTAGAGTAGTCAAAATCATAGAGACAGAAAGTAGAATGGTGGTTTCCAGGAACTGGAGAGTGGGAAAATGGAGAGTTATTTTTTAATGGGTATAGAGTTTCAGTCTTACAAGATGAAAAGTTATGGAGATAAATGGTGGTTATGTTTGGATCACATTATAAATGTATTTAATGACATTGAACTGTGCACTTAAAAATGATTATGATGGTAAATTTTATGTTATGTGTATTTTACCACAATAAAAAAAATTTGGGAAAAAAAGAAATATGAGGCCTGACATGGGTGGAAAGGCACACTAAGATGCACAAAGTACATGTAAAGACTTACCCCTGAGGCGCTTAGCATTTGGCCCAGGTCACTTTATATTGCAAAGGATGTACAGAAGGGCCAAACTCAAGCCATCTATTTAGATTTAGCAGGACCCCTACATCAAAAGCAGGACTTGGCATTTCCACCCTGATTAAGCAGCTGGTGCCACCTGTTTTGCAGCCAACACACGGTACATTTTCAAGTCGAATCATTCCCATTCAAGGAATGGTCCCCATACTCCTTCCCTTTTAGCCAATCTCTGATGCAAAGAAGAGCTTAAGATCCTTACCAATGTTCTCTTGCCAATGACGCACACAGCTTATATCTAAAGCACTGCACGCAGACTGGCTCATCCAGGTTAGCAGAAGCAGCAATCTTACAGTTCACGTTCCACATTATTTATTAATAATCCCATATATTAATAAAAAACATAATTATTTTCTGTTCTTCTTGGCTGTCCTATTTCTATAATCATCAATTAAAATGGAAATCACTGTTGCTATTGCTGTTCTGGATATTTTTATGCCAATCTGGATCAATTTGATCACCCATACAATCACTAATTATTGAGGAACTATTGCATGCCAGGCAAAGTTCCAGCAGCTGGAAATACAACAATGAATAAATAGATAAGTTCTCACTCTTATGAAACCTACATTTTATTGCGGGCATCAGATATACAACAATGATAGATAGATGAAGAGAGAGAGATAGATACATACATAGATAGATGTTAGTGCTAAATGCTGTATAGAAAAATAAAGCAAGGTAATTGGATAGAGAGTAATGAGATCCTACTTTAGATAGGTGTGGAAGTATAGGTTTAAAGCTAAGACTCAGGTGTCAGTAATGTTGAGAAATGAACCTTGTTTTTAGTTATTATTTCTATCAATAATAATTTCTAAGATTTATCGAACACTTTACATATATGATTCCTTTTACTAATAGCTTGAGATATAATCATTATTAGCTCCATTTTACAAAGGAATAGACTGAGACTCAGAGAGATAAAAAAGTTTTAAAACACCAAGATTACAGAACTAATAAAGGACAGAAACAGGATTCAAACTCAGGTTTTCCTGAATTCCAAAACTATGCTGGGTGTTTCCTTTATTAAGTGATCTTGTATATATACTTAACTAAAACTTCCGGTGAACTATGTTTCCTCCCTCAGTTCCAGTGTCTCGCCCTGTCCTCACTGTCAACCCTGCTGGGGCCCAGCCTGTGGTGGGAGAACTGTTGGAGCTTCACTGTGAGGCCCAAAGAGGGTCTCCCCCAATCCTGTACTGGTTTTATCATGACAATGACACACTGGGGAACAGCTTGGCCCCCTTTGGAGGAGGAGCATCCTTCAACCTCTCTCTGATGGCACAGCATTCTGGGAACTACTCCTGTGGGGCCGACAATGGCCTGGGGGTCCAATGCAGTGAGATGGTGACACTCAACTTTACAGGTGGGTTGGTGGTATCTGGGCATAGGTTACAGTTATGGTCAATAAAATATTTCTCCAACAGGTTGTATGAATACTATTAATGTCAAAGAGTTTTTGAACATGACACCAAGGCTTGAGACTTCTGGAGATTGGTACTGATTTCATGGAGGAGAGGAAAAGGGAATAAATTTTAATCTTAAATGCTGCCGATCAATATGCCATTATTTTGAAATTTATGAAATATACTAGTGATAATTAAAATGGAGAAATCAGAACCTGGCAAAAATCTGTCTATCGATCTCTAGCTCCCACCTACATGGTTTTTGTCTAGATCACAAATATTTGCCACTGGAACTCACGTGTAGGTCTCTCCACTTAGGGTCTTCCAGGAACAAAATAATCCTTATCACTGTGGGAGTCATCGGGGGGCTGCTAAGTATCCTTGGCCTTGCTGCTACTGCTGCTCTGATGGGCAACTTCAAGACCCAAAGGAAATCAGGTGGGTATCTACTTCTTACCTTTTGATATTGTGACTTACGCCATTGCTATAATAATTTGGACTTGTGTGGTGCATCTGATAAATGTCAATTATTCCCTCCAAGTACTAGGCTCTCAGTTCTAATCACTGCCACTCTGTAGGCAATAGTGACAAAAAGATAGAATAAGTTTTTCAATGAAGTTGTTATTCCATGTGTTTGAGATTTAAATCAGGTAGCAGAGTTTTGCTTCCAATTAAAAATTAGAAAGTTAAGTACTTACTGTTCTACCCCCAGTCCAAAGCTTACTGAAAACAAAAAGAATGAAGAATAAAGTCCTCTATTTGTAACAACAAAAAGCCAATAGCCATAGGTGTAAACCATAAACTCTGAGATATATTGGAATTCTTGTCAAATATAGTGTAATTTGGATAAAATTAACACAGAATGCTGAGAATGAAATTAAATTAAATTAAAATTTCTGTTTGTTTATTGCTAGTATATAGAAACACAATTGATTTTTGTATGGCCTCATATCCTGCAACCTCACTAAACACACTTATTAGTTGCAGCATCTCTTTTGTAGATTTTGTCAGATTTTCTATGTAGGTGATCATGTCATTGGCGAATAAAGATAGATTTACTCCTTCCTTTTCAATCTGGATTCCTTTTACTTCTTTCTTGCCTTAATGCACTGGCTAGAACCTCTTATACAATGTTAAACAGAAGTGGTGAGAGCAGACATTGTTGTCTTGTTCCTGATCTTAAGAGGAAAGTATTTTTTCTCTCACCATTAAATATATGTTAGCTATGGATTTTTTGTAGATGCTCCTTATTAGGCTCAGGAAGTCCTTACTATTTGTAATTTTCTGAGAGTTTTTATAGGCAAAAATGCTTGTCAGATATTTTTTCTACATACTTGAGATGATCATATGATTTTCTTTTCTAATCTATTGCTATGGATTTTTAATTTTGAACAATGAACCTGCCTTGCATTTCTGGGGTCAACCTCATTTGGCCGTGATTGTTGGATTTGATTTGCTAAAATTTTGTTAGGAATGTTTGCATCTATGTTCATAAGGGTTATTGGTTGGTAGCTGCTTTTTGTTGTCGTGCTTTTTTCTGAATTGATGTCAAGGCAATACCTACTTATTTACCACATTCCGTTCACTAATGTGATTATTGATAGGCTTAGATTTGTCTATTATTTTGCTATTTGTTTTCTATTTGTACCAGCTGTTCTTTGTTTTCCTTTTCTTCTACCTTCTTTTGGATCAATTGAGTATTTTTCATGATTCAATTTTATTTCGTTTGTTGGCTTTAGCTATATAACTCTTTGTTATTTTAGTCATTGTTTTAGGGTTTATAGTATGCATATGTAACATCACAGTCTATCTTCAAGTGATATTATATCACTTCACATATAGTATAAGAATATTACTGTAGTGTACTCCATTTCTCCTCTCCTGGCTACATCATTCTTATTTTTGCAAACAATCAATTATCTTTTAAAGAAAATTAAACATAATTTTAAAATCTTATATATTTATTCATGTAGTAACTTCCAATGTCCTTCATTCCTTTATGTATATCCATATTTTCATTTGGTATCATTTTCTTTCTGCCCAAAAGATTTCTTTTAACATTTCTTATAGTATGGGTCTTCTGGTGATGCATTATTTCAGCTTTTGTGTGTCTGTAAAAGTATTTTGCACTCATTTGTGAAAGATATATTTGCTGGCATCGAATTCTAGGTTGAAAATTTTTTTCTTTCAGTATTTTAAAGATATTGCTCTACTGTCTTCTTGTGTGAGTTGTTTCTGACAAGAAATCTGCTATTATTCTTATCTTTGTTCTTCTATTTTATTTATTTATTTATTTTTAATTTTTTGTTTATTGCAGTAACATTGGTTTATAACATTGTATGAGTTTCAGGTGTACATCATTAGACTTCTATTTCTGCATAGATTACATCATGTTCACCACCCAAATACTAATTACAACCCATCACCACACACTTGTGCCAAATTATCCCTTTCGCCCTCCTCCCTCCCCCCTTCCCCTCTGGTAACCAACAATCCAATCTCTGTCTCTATGTGTTTGTTTGTTGTTGTTGTTATTATCTACTACTTAATGAGGGAAATCATATGGTATTTGACCTTCTCCCTCTGACTTATTTCACTTTGCATAATACCCTCGATGGGAGACTACTTATTTTTCTCTCTAAATATTTTTTTTGTGGATCAGGAATCTTTGAATGTATGGACTGTTTTACACAGTGCTTTGGGTGCTTCTAAGGTTTCAAGACTTTATATTTTGGAATTACTAATCCTTTACTTTCTGTCTTTCTCTCTATGTGGTGTAACATGGCGACTCCTTTTCTATCAGGCTAAATGCTTCTTTCTGTTCTCCCTTTCTCAGGGTTCATACTGAAAATCAAGCAAATAAACGAATAATGAAAGATATGGATCTCAGTTCAATGAAAAAGCTTACATATTTTTCTTAATGATGCTGCTCAAGCATTGTCTTCTTACCCCTCTTTTCATGTCAATCAGTGAGCTTCCATTCTTCTGTTTCTTTGTATGAAAAATGGCATCAACATTGTGATTGATAATTTAAAGCTACTTAGTATTTTCTTAAATAAAATTACATATAAAATTATGTGTATATATAATTTTAAAAAATATGTAAAGAGAATCAGAGCACTAATTCCAATAGTACTCATCACAAAATCTGTCATTTTTTTGGGGTCTATTACATGCAATTTTGTAGTTCGTCTCATTTTCCCAATTTTTCAATAAGTACATTTCAGTTCAATTCAACTGATATTATTATCACTATATTAGAGAGAAGAAATAGAGATTTTGGGAAGTTAAGTAACCTTTCCAAATTCACATATCTATTAAGAGTCAGAGTTAGGGCTTAACTTGGGTCTTTCTAACCGTTGGGTCCATATTCTCTTCATTACACCTTGATGCCTTGTAGAAGGCTGGTCACACCTCCTACTTTCAAAATTACTTTTCTATCTCATTGCTTATCTGGGATGTCATTTATCAATCCCTAATATACTAGAAGTGCAGACATCAGAACCTCAGTGTTGAAGTTGATAATATTCAAAAAACAGATTGCTCAGTCAACACAACACCAACACCAACACCACCAGGGAAGGAAAGATCAACAACCATCATTTTATGTGATCCGTGAGGGCAGGAGCCCAGGAAGTCCTGTCATTCCATATCTAGGGGAAGTGTTATTTTAAATAGCAAACTCAACTAGGGAATTCTGACAGTCCACCAATCAGAGGTTCTCTTCCTTTCTTATCTCAAAATCTTGCCTACTGTACTTTCCTCATAGTAAAATCTTCCTTCTCATTATTGGCCAGACTTCTCAGGGAGGAGCTCAGCCCTTCCAAATTTTTCTCAAAGTGAACAGTTTTGCTCCTTAAGTCTGACTGTATCATACAAGTTACCAGAGGGAGTGATAAATTTATTGACTCTATAATTAACTGCATGGTTTATAATTCCAGTATCAAGTATTTGGCAACTAAATTAAATTCTCCAAACCCCAGTTTCTTTAGCTATATAATGGTCATAATAATAGTACCTACCTTTTAGGTGCTATGAGACAATCTATGTAAACTGCTTAGCACAGTGCCTGGCCCATATATCTTCAGTGAATATTAGCTTGTATTATAAATAGCCACCTTCTGGGTCTGTTTTCTCTTTTACAAATGAAGAGAATATTTTCAACATTCTAGGCACTAGGAATAGAAAATAATTAAGACAAGGTTTGCAGCCTCAAGTTACACACCATTTCATGAAGGAGAGAGTTAGAGACAAATGTAGAAATAGATATTACATATTACAATACAAATTACATATAGTAATTTTAATATTGCAGGGTTCTATGTGCATGGAGATAGATCACTTAATCCAGCCTGCTGGTATCAGGGAAAGCTCTGGAGAAGGAAAAGTAAGTTGGAATTAGCCAGGGAAAAGAGAAGGAAAGAAAGGGTATGGAGAAAACAATATGCACCTAGTGTTGGAATGGCTTTGCAAGAGTCATAAATAAAGAGAGATCTGAGCTTATTGTGGTAGTCCTATTGATTCATGCTTGTTTAAGAATTCTGTATCAGTTTTAACCCCTCTTGAGGCCTTAGTGTCCTTGTCTCTCCTCATAGGGTTGCAGTCAGGATAGATGAGTGGGAGTGAGGCAAGGAGTTGGCCCAGGTTAAACATTTAGTTGTCTCTCTTCTGCTACTTGGTCACAACTACTTAGAGTTCACGCTGCTATTATTGATTGAATAAAGATTCAGAATAATCGTTATTCTGGGCAAATGTCTTTCAAAACCCCACCTTCCTTATCTACAACATGACATGGGGGGTGGGGTTGGATGTTTTCTAAGATTCACTGTAGCTGAGATCTAGAATGAATCTGATATCTAGGAAAGGGCATTCTAACATAGAGCATGTTATCCACACAGCTCACTTATCATCAATGTTCTTTTGTTTGTTTTTCAGGAGGACTTTCTGCCACTGGAACACCTAGGTGAGGTCTCTGTTTCTTGCGCTGTCAACATTTTCATGATTTATTTATACTCACAAGATAGGGCCATGGAATTACGTACATTAAACAAAATATTTGATGGGACTTCCTATTAACATTTTCAAATTCTTATTAAGTCCAAAAATGTGATTAAGAAGGCCACTTTCAATCACATTTGTGACTAATACTCACTTATACCTACTTATATACAGAAATCATGTTATTTGCTATCCATGTTAATTTATCTGCTTCCTTAGTTGTGCTCCAGTAGAGAATTGACCACTAACATCTTAATATCTCATAGGGCTACAATTCATTCATTGCCTTATTGTACATTCCTCCACTCACACACTCATTCAAGAAATTATTATTGAATGCCTGCAATGTTCAATTCATAATATTAACTGTAGAAGGAAATGCAATTGGGGGAGAAAACCACAACACTTTTCATGAAAAGCCTTCATGGTAACTTACAAGAAATGTAGATTATTGTAATATGAGATAGAAAATTGAAAGGGATCTTTTACAAAAGACAAAAGTCAAATTCTGTGAGAATGCAGAAGTCTTTGTGTATCAATGTCGAAGCATTTAAATTTTTTAAAATAAAAAATTAGGCAAATACAAGTGTTTACTCTATCAAAGTGACCTTGAGACTGTGGAGCATTTGCCCTCTGACCTTGCCTCAGCCAGCTTTCTCTGCATTGCTGCTCTGGGCTTCATCTTGTGCCACATCCCTTCTGACATTTTCTCGAAAGAGTCATGCAGATTCTTAGAGTCAGCAGCCATGATACTTTTGCATGAACTGCTAGTCTCTTCCTGGGTATTGATTTCCCTGAGACTCTGTATAATATACAAATGCTTCTCCCTTGTCTCTTTCCCCCTCTGTCACAATTACAGTCCCAATGAGTGTCAGGAGCCTTCCTCATCCAGGCCCTTCAGGATAGACCCCCAAGAGCCCACTTATTCTGAGCCACCAGCCTTAATGGAGCTGCAGCCAGTGTACAGCAATGGTGAGAACTTTGTAAGGTGCAAAGGGCTCCAGAGACGAGCCAGGGAGGGAGGAGAGATTGAGCAACAGTCCATGGCCCAGTCACTTTAAATTTAAAAATGGCATTCCTGTTACTATGTTGGGAATAGAACTTGGTGGCTGGGAGGAAGGATCTAGAATGTGGGCTCTTGAGTACAGCCAGCTATGATCTATTCTCTCACAGTGAATCCTGGAGATAGCGAACTGGTTTATTCCCAGATCTGGAGCATCCAGCATACAAAAGAAAATTTAGGTAAGACACCTTCCAGCCAAGTAGAGGTGAGGTGACAGTGTGTTATCAGATCTAGCAAGAAGTCTTTGATCAAAAAGTCATCTCAAATGTGAGTCCAAAATGGAAGAAATTACCTGCCTCTCTTGTATTGCCAATCATATAATCATATCAATTCCCTCTTACCTGTCTACACTGCTACCACTACCCCACAGACTCTTTGAAGACAGACACTATAATTTTTCATTAATGTATCAATAGCATCTAGTACAATGCTTAGAAAACTAAAATATTTTTTGAATGAATGAATGAATGAACATAATTGCTAAATTAAGCTTCTCATAATCTAATGTGCAGACAACTGTAATTCTCTTAACTAGTCTCTTTATTTCTAATCTTCTTCTCTTCCAACCTTCCAACAATCTGTTTCCAGCATGATCCCTCTGAGATGCCCAATTGTTCACATCATTGGCTAGATTAACTGCCTGCAATGACTGTCTATCCTCAAGCATGACCCTCACCTCCCTCTGCACTTTGGCTCTCCTCTAAGCTCTTCCTTATGTCCTTATTCTAGCCATATTGATCTCTTGGCATTTTTCTGATCATACTGGGCTGTTTCATGCTTTGGTACTCATGCTTCTTATTTGTCTTGCAATGTCCTTGACCTTAGTTTACCTGCTGACCCTTGCTCACATTTCAAGACACAGTTCAGGAGCCACTATGAAACTTTGAGTGACTTCCACCAGCCCTTCTTATGTCCTAACCTGGGAGAAACTGATTACCTTTTCATAGTTACGTAGTGTAGTTCAATGTGTATGTCTATCTTGGTGCCCATAATACTTGTTGCATTTTTCCATGTCTATTCCTCCCTTTAAAAATTATAGGCTTCTTGATCATATGGACTGAGTTTGTGTGGTTTCTGTCTCCTTACAGCTTATCAAGGCTTAATAGAAGGTCATTGTTCAATGAATGCTTATTGGCTGAATAAATAAGTGAAAGAGATCCAAAGAACCCTTAGGAAGAATGGAAGAAATACACATACTGAATTTCCTTAATGCTCTACTGCAAATCCTTGGCTTCCTGGGAAATTGCTGTGTGGCCTTAGAATACCAAGCCCCTCTCTGTCCTCCTCCAATTTCCCTATGCAAAATGAAGTGAATCATATCTGCCACCTTCTCCCAGATGATCAGTATAGTCTTAGAGGCTCTGGGGGGTGCTGTGGGAAGCTTCTCTGCTGGGGTTGTGATGGCAGTGGAGAAAGAAGGAAATCATCAAGAAAGTCATTCTGGGCATTTGATAGGCAAGGGAAAGGCTTATGAGTGTGTGTGTGGAGGGGAGGGTGTTGGTAGAATGCTTTGTCTGTGAGGACTTGGAAGAATTCAGCAGAGGAAACAGTCAAGAGAGGAGTCAGCAGAGAAAAGATTGTCTCAGAATGCACTGTGAGTAGATTTTAAGTTAGAATATATCATCACCCACAGTTTAATACTTTTTTTCCCCCTCCCATCCAACAGCAAGTGCACCAAGGATGCATTGGGAGCATAAGGTGGGTCACTTTTTCTGGCTTTATTTCCCTTCTGTTCTTCCTCACCTATATTTAGGTACTTACTGTTTATGTTTTTTTCCCACTAGGGACCTACAGTCATCTATTCAGAGTTGAAGAAGGCACATCCAGATGACTCTGCAGTGCAGGCTAGCAGTAGAGGCAGCACCCATGGAGATGCTACAGAAAACTATGAGAATGTCCCATGTGCATCATCAGCCTTGGACCACTAGCCCTTTACTCAGAGCGGCCCCCAGAGAACCTGCAAAGCAGCCCGTGCCATTCTCCCTGTTTTCTCCAACCGTGCACCCTCTGCCTCCAGGACCCAGTCTCCCAGGAGGCTGGGCAGTAGGGGATGTGAGACTGTGTGAAATATCTGCCAGCCTGCTCTGTCCCCAAGTCTGTGTGATCTCTAGGAACAGAGTGGGCAGCATTTGAGTAAATGCTGCATTCTTTTCACAGTAGAGATACATATGAAGGCAGGTGGGCCTTTGGCACCTGGGCCTGTGGAATAGAGGAGGAGAGGGAAAAGGTCTAGGCAGGATCAAGAGGGTATTACATGGTCATTTGATCTAAGCATGATCAAAAGCTTTTAAAGTACTATCTCTGCATAAACAATTCGCTCTAAACATTTTTTTTCCTTTTGTGTGTGGTTGATAGTGGCTTTGCTGATGTTCTGGTGTATATACTATGTTTCAGCTACCAAATTGGAAATGACCTAAAGGATTGATTCTATCTACTTGTGTACTATTTCTTCATGCAATGTGCATCAGTACTAAGAAATTTTTAAAAAATAACCCAATCTATTTAATGGGAGAGAGCTTCCAAATTATCTGACTAAATAGTATTATGGGCTGAATTGTGTTCCCTCAAATTTCATATGTTCGAGCCCTAACCTCCAGTGTGACTATACTTGGAGACAGGGCCTTTAAGGTGGTAATTAAGTTAAATGAGGTCATAAGGGCAGGCCCTAATCCAATTGGACTGGTGTCCTTACAAGAAGAAGATACACTGGGAATATCTCTGTCTCTCTTCATGCACACAGAAGAAAGGTCACGTGAGTACACAGCAAGAAGGCAGCCATCTGCACAGCCAGAAGGTGGCCAGGAAGAGAAGTCCCACCAGAAAGCAACCCTACTAGCCCCTTGATCTTGGACTTCCAGCCTCTAGAACTATGAGAATATAAATGTCAGATGTTTAAGCCACCTGGTCTGTGGCATTTTGTTATGGCAGCCAGAGCAGACTAATACAGATTTAAACATAGATTTATAGATGATAAATGATTAGTGATGATGATGATGATGATGATGATGATGATGATAATGATAGATAAATAAAATAGATGCAAATATATGACACACACACACTCTCAGCCTACGCAGAATTTTATGTCTTCAAGATACTTCCTCTTTCACAAGACTAAACATTCCTTCTACCTGTAGCAGCTCAGTTTTACTGTATAATTATGAAACATCCACTATTTGAAAGCTACAGAAGCATCAGCACCAACGTTGGAAGCCCAGTAGAGCCAATGATTCACATGACTCACATGACAAAGCTTAGCGTCACTTGGGAGCCCTCATGACCTGAGCTAGCGGTGGATGTAGAGATAGATGCAAGGCAATCAGTGGGCTCAAGGGAGGACATTCCCTCCCATTGCTCAAAGACTCCTAACCCTTTCCTCAACTGACTGGCAAATATTGAGCAACTACCACTGAAGAAAAAATTTTAAAAAAGCATGCCGTTTGTGCTTAAGTCTCAGGAAAAATGGCAGAATCACTTCTATTTATAAGTTCTGCTTAGGCAGGAAAGGAATAACTGAAATTGTTAGCCTCTATCACCCAGTATTACACTGAACTTTTTATAGCTCTGAAAACAATAGACCTGAAGAAAAGATCTGGTAAATTCACTGATGACTGATGTATATCAACTGATACAATTTATGGACATCATTGATTTTACACCAGACATTGTTCATGACTTTAAATAAATAACACAATAATGCTTTGAGAACCTGGAAAAGAGCTCAAGCATAAAAGTATTAAATGTATTTCCAATTTTATGCTTTTCCCCTTGGGGGTCAGAAGCTTAGACAACAGCAAGTGTAACATATACTTTAGAAAAATGCAATCTGATTTGAGGTTTTTAATTATAGGCTTATGAATTCAACTAGCAAGCTAATTTGCCAAGGAAAAAAAATATTTCTTTCTTAAAGAGGAGATACATATTTTTATTATGAAAGAGGACTTAAATGTCTTGTCTGCATATTACTAGGTACAAAATGAAATCTAGAATGTATGCTTGACCTTTAGAGGTGAAAAGAATTCATGTAATCTTTGTAATCTATAGGTGTAATCTATCTCTGTGCTTAAATTTTTCTCCAAATGCCTCCCCACTTTGGGATCCAGGAAGAATAAAGCTGTATAATGGCGGAGGGGGACATGTCACTAAGTGCCAGCTCTGAGAAATCCATCTTAAAGAGTGGTGAAAAAAGACAAATGTTTCTTTATTGACTTAAGAGAGAGAAAATTCCTAAAGGAGAAAGACAGCTTCTAGGCAGCATCCCATGGATGGTGAGAGTCACTCTCCGGGAATGCATAACAATGGTGCATCAGCACCAAGGACAGCAGCCTCTAAGACAAAGAGAATTGACAAATGCCAGCGAGAGATGGGGACCAGAGGGACTCTACAGTGCACAGAATAACTCCAAGTGTATGGGGACCTCCCTCCCAGAACTTCTTATCCACGTCCTCAAACTGAGGGCAAATAGTAGTACCTGTAAGCAGTCAGGAAGAGTCTAAGGAATATTTGGGAAAAGATCAAAGAGGAAATTATGTTTCCAACTAGTCAAGAAGGTAACAATTGAGGCATCAAGATTTGAGGCATTACTATAATTTCTTTCTTTACAATTTATTCATTTTATTCGTTTACAAATTTATTGATGAATAATTTATGCATAATAAACTGCACATATTTAAAGTATACAAGTCAATGAATTTTGACAGATAATATACATCCGTGAGACAACCATGACAATCAAGATCCCATATATCTCCATCACCCCCCAAAATTTCCTTGTCCCCTAAGCAATACATCTTTCCCTCCACCTCCATCTTATGCAATCACAAATATGCTTTCTGTCACGACAGATTAAAGTGTATTTTCTGAAATTTTATATAAATAGAATCCTACAGTATATACTTTTATTGTGTCTGGCTTCTTTTACTAAGCAAAAAGATTTTGAGATTCATTCACATTGTTTCATGTATCCATAGTATATTCCTTTTCATTGTTAAGTAATATTCCATTGTATGGACATGCCACATTTGCTTATCCGCTTACTTGTTAATGAACATTTGGATTGTTTCATTTGTCATTATTAAAAATAAAGCTGCTATAAAAATTCATGTACAAGTATTTGTGTGAACATATGTTTCTATTGCTCCTTTGTAATACCTAGGAGTGTAATTGCTGGGTCACATAGTAGATTTATGTTTAACATTTTAAAGGTTGCAACACTCTTTTCCAAAATGACTGTACCATATTACATTCCCAAGAGCAGTGTATGATAGTTACAGTTGCTCCACATCCTTGCCAACACTTGGTATTTTCAGTCTTTAATTTTGGTCATTCTAAGGAGTGTGTAGTGCAGTCTAGTGTTATCTCATTGTGGTTTTAATTTCTCTGATGATTAATCCTATTGATTATCTTCTTAAGTCCTTATTGGTTCTCTATAGATCTTCTTTTGTGAAGTGTCTGTTCACACCTTTCATCTCTTCTTTGTTGAGTTGTTTGCCTTTTTATTATTGAGTTGCAAGAGTTTTTAAAAAATATATTCTGGTCTGATTTATATGTTGCAAATATTTTCTCCATGTCTGTAGCTTGTCCTTAATTTTCTTAATGGTGTTATTTTTAGAGCAATGTTTTAGTTTTGATAAATTCCTGTTTATCAACTTTTTTATTTTATGAGTATGCTTTGTGTTTCCTATCTATAAAGTACACCCCCCAAGGTCAAAAGATTCTCTCTTATTTTTTATACTTTTCTCTTTTACATTTAGGTCTATGTGCCATTTAAAGTGAATTTGTATATGTGTGTGCATAGTGTGAGGAAAAGTGTTCATTTTTTTCTTGTGTATATGCAGTTGTTTCAGCACTATTTGCTGAATAAACCTTCTTTTACTTCTTTTTTATTTTTTGGTGAGGAAGATTAGCTCTGAGTTAACATCTGTTGCCAATCCTCCTGTTTTTGCTGAGGAAAATTGGCCCTGGGCTAATATCCATGCCCATCTTCCTCTACATTATATGTGGGATGCCTGCCACTGCACGGCTTGACAAGTGGTGTGTAGGTCCACACCAGGATCTGAACCAGTGAACCCTGGGCTGCCAAAGTGGAGCATGTGAACTTAACCACTACACCACTGGGCCAGCCCCTCTTTTACCTCTTTTTAATCTGAGTTGTTTGCCTTCTTATTATTGAGTTACTGGAGTTCTTTATATATTTGGGATATATATCCCTTTGTTACATTTATGCTTAGCAAATATTTCTTTCTGGTTTTTGACTTTCCTTTACATTTTCTTTACTGTGTCTTTGAAAGAGCAAACACTTTTAATTTAATGGAAATTATTTATCATTATTTTCTCTTATAGTTAATGTTTTGTATACCCTGTTTAAAAACAATTTGTCTAACTGAATGTCATAAAGACTTTTGTCTACATTTTCTTTTAGAAATTTAATAGTTTTACTTCTTGTATTTAGATACGTGATGCATTTCAAGTTAATGTTTGTATATGGCATGAGGTGAGAGTTTATGTTAATATTTTCCCATACAGATATCTATTTGTTTCACCACCATTTCTTTAAAAAACTACCTGTTTCCCAATGAAATATCTACTCACCTTTGTCAACAATCAATTGAGTACATAAATGTGGGTCTACTTCTGGACTATTCTGTTCCATTGATCTTATACATCTATCCTAATCCCAAAACCACACTTTCTTGATTACTGTTACTTTGTATTAAGAATTGAGATCAGTTGGTATAAACTCATCAACTTTGTGGGTTTTTTTCCCCAAAACTGTTTTAACTAATCTAGGTATTTTGCCTTTCCATGTAAGCATTTACACTGGCTTTTTAATTTATTTGAAAAAGCCTGTTAGAATTTTGATTAGGATTGCATTGAATCTATACATCAACTTGAAGAGAATTGCCATCTTAACAACACTGAGTCTTCCTATCCAAGAACTTTGTGATGTTATATAAAGTTATATATTTATATAACTTTCCATTTCTTCAGTTCTTCTTTAATTTCCTTTTTGCACATCTTTTATTAAATTTATTCCTAATTATTTTATATTGTATGTTAATATAAGGGAAGTTTTTACTTCATTTTATAATTTCTAGTATTATTTGGTAATATTCCTCAATTTTCTGAAAGAGTTTGTGTAGGATGGATATTTTATTTTCCTTAAATATTTGATAGACTACACCAATGAAGCTGTTTAGACCTGGAGTTTTTTGTGTGAGAAA